ACTATCTGGACGCACGATTGGTCTCGGCCACTACTGTCCTGTGCAAACTGAACTGAACAACGTATACGGAATAGAAGGCAGACTGCGAGACCTAGACGAAAGCACTATATATGAACGTAAAAATACGGTGTTGTCGCAAGGTGCGTTGAACGTCCAAGGTGGAAGTGTCTGGACGTAATGCGGGTCAACGTTCGGTAAAGTGAGCACGTGACGTAAAACATGAGTGACAAAGCAGTGTCACTACAACTCGTCTGTGTAGGCACTAGGTGGTCACTACACCTGCGACCCTGATGGAGGCCACGAGAGGGAGTGTGCGAAATCGAATAAGCGGCGTAAACCTGCACAACTCAAAATGACTGCTTCTTCCGACAGAGTACTTGCTCCTTCGCAGACAAAGAATGACAATACAAATGATAACCTAGCGAATTACTCTGAGAATATCATCGTGGCTTACCATTGCAAGAAACCGAGCGGTACCTGGCTCAAGTCCCATGTCCCGAAACCTGAGCTGTGATGAGAAGCCAGAAATACCCTGAGAATTCCAACGGTATGAATTTGAGATGAATTGGGACCAACCACCAACGTGCCCTCACTGGATGCGTAGGACTTAGGGTAACGGACAAAATGCAACAACTTAACTTATTAGATCCCTCTATTGGTGCTCTCCTAACTTAAATGTTGGGGAAATCTAGACTACGAGCAACCCTTTAATACCGTATGGTCTTCCCATAGTGAACGCTCTTTTGCTATCACTGTTTGTAAGTTTTTTAACTGGGATAGTTAGGAAACGCAAGTATGATCAGATCCGGTGGCAGTTTAGCAGACAAAATCGGTCAACACAGGTTAACTGCTCCTGCCATCATGTCTTCTTGGTTAATAGGTTAGTTAAACAACCCCTTCTGCTTCCAAGATTAGACGATGAAAGGATTTCAAGGTCTTCCGGCCAGCAAGTTATCAACTCCCGCTCCTTAAACGTAGTTTTTATTCTCCCGTTAGATGAACCGCAGCGTTTTCCAAGTTTGGTTGTCAACGGATCCAGTGGGGCACTTTCGGGCGCAATGCTCTTTACACTGTACATTACCGACTTGGTTCTAGACGTTGAATTCATCTCTGCGCATAACGTAAACAATAGTGAGCATGGAACAATTGGAAGCCGATTTAGTCAAGGATTTCCTCTGAACAGACGTGGGAGCTGAAGCGAAAGGCTAACAAAAGTCACGTTCCAAATAAGGNNGTCTTCAGTTGAGTTGATCGAATGATGGACCCAGGGATTCTAGTTTGTTATTAGGGAAGTATATTGATCTGCAAATGGGCGATTGGCGGAAATGTGGAAAACGCGAAGTCTGTTTCTAAACATACACCTTTTGGCATTACTCTACATGCTGCACTCACGTTTCGGCTGACAAGAAGACAAACTTAGCCTAGTAAGCATAACAATTTCATCACTAAAGAAAACGAGGATATGGATACCGTCACACGTTGAGAACGTACTGTAAATCTTCATCACAGAAGAACCCCAGTAACACCTACGAGCTGCCGCAGTAGATCAATTTGACAAACGCAGGAAATCATAAACAAACGTCTAGCCAACACTGCTTGAGGATGGCATGGTGCAGTCCAGAGTAGTTTGACCGAATGTATCGACTAAATTTGAGTGGAGTAGCAATCTTCACGCTATTTTGACCTTCGGATAATTGATCTTTCAGGCTTAAATAACCGAGCAATCCCCAGAAAACTTTTCTGATACGAGTAGCTATCGCTGGGTTATTAACCGCAGTCACGAGAATACATGATACTTATCGTTCATCATATAGTGAGCAATGGTATGATTACGGCCGTCACAGAAACAAAAAGATAGTAATGCAGGGTAAAAATTTAGTACACAATGTGGAGTCGAAGTGGCCAAACAAAAAACACTGTACAAAGTTTTTAAATGGCATAGTTTAACATCACATCCTGTTTGGCCAATTCCAGCAACATCGGGTCGTCGAAGAACTTGTTGATACTGACATCCTCGTTCAAACCCTGTGACAGAGAGAGCGAGAAATAGTGATGAAGGGGTAGCAAAACAATCCACCGATAAACTAAACAATATGAAGTCCACATACGGGTAAGACGGATACAATGAACTAAAAACAATGATGGATATTCAAAACATCTTTTACAAAACGTTTCTGAGAATAAGAACAGTCGTTCATGTTATCCTGTCAAAGGAACATCTTGAAGTCTTTAGTTAGGGACAACGTCCTAGAAACCAAAGCGGGAGATAAATTTAATATACAAGCCCACAATATTTTGGACAAGTAGAACACGGCCGTAACACACAAAGTGGACATCATAAAAGGAAAGAAGTTATTAAGGTTTCTGGAGGTAGCGTGAAGAACAACAGGAGCGAAGCAGTACTTACCTTTCTTCTTCGAGTTTTAATCATGAACTCGCGGGCCAAATGTGTGGCCGGTTGAGGAATCAGCGGTTGGATTTGGATCGAGCGATCCAGTGGATCACCGGGGACCAATTGCCAATGATGGAATACGAGCATACAGAATGCCTGACCTTGCGAATGTGTGCGCAAATCGGTTTCGAAACCGAACGAGTCCATGACCGGGAGAAAGGCTCGGATCACATACATTGGAGAACCAGAGATAGGTGCATCATGGGTTACATGACCTCTGGAGAGGAAGGAAGTTTTGGAAAGTCAACAAGTTGTTCAAACTGATTCAGGTCAAGTATAACAATTCGGGGAATGTCTCACGGAATATAGAAAGAGCAGAAGACAATACTGCTTTGAAGAATACGCCAGGGGCATCAGTTCGAACAAAAGCTGATGGGTGTGAGTGCCAGACGCCACAACGCAATCAATAAATGCAGCGTGGAAAATACATAGCTGAAGGGAAGACGAACACGAATAGGTTTGGCAACGGATCGTGTGCTGTGGGTGAGCTCAAAAAGAAAACCGCTAGCAAACGCAAATCAACAGGAGAACAAGCGTCCCTGAAGATAACCAGACACGTGTTGCATAATTGGGACTTTCTTCCACATGAGAATAAGACGCCTTCAGGGCTTCATTCAAGAATTTGTCAGTGCGTCTTTGCGCAGCCAACTGTTAATGGCAATGGTCTCATTTGGCGACAGACAAAACTCAGAAAAGTTAC